ATACTTTTTCACACATCCCCATCAGAGGGACTTTTTGGAGTAAGTTTATAATTTAGGCAGAAGTGGAATTAATTGTAAGGGAAACGAGGAGGTAAATGTATAGAAGGAGTCAGACTAGGAAAATTCCCTCAGTTTTATGCAGAACCTGATTTAACACATTGCGTACCGCGTGCGCCACCATGTGGCGCACGATTTCGCACGAAACAGCATAGTTTATCTGATTTATTTGACATTTTTCAATGCTCCTGAACTGTTTGCACTCATTTTCAGAGCCGGAAACCATACGTGTCATCACTGATAAAATTGTTGATAGATTAATGATGATACATTTTTGAAAAATATAAAAAAGGTACGAAGGCACTCATACAACGGCGGTCCGCAATGTGTTAAACAGGCACGGTCAAAGAAGAGTACAAGCTGCCTTCTACAGATAGCCTACAATCAAAAGCACGTGGACGATTGCTGTAAAAAAGAACGGAAAATAGGAAAGTGATGCAGATGGAGACAGAATCGGACGCGAAACTAAAGGAAATAAATTCCCCACATGAGATCGTCAGAAAAACGGCGTTTTTTTTTTGCGAAACCGTCTCCCGAGACCGACAGAGGTCTCTTCACCATATATAAATAGTTATCTAACTTTTAATACTCTCCAACTTGAGTACTTACAAAACAGATGCTTTTTTCTTGAAATCTTTCCTCTACACAGAAAAAAAAACTAGAGATAACGCTGGAAAGTTTTACAAGGTGAGGTTGAGAAGTGCGGAGAACTATGAACCAGAGGCGGTTTGGAGCTCTTCGCAAAACAAAACCTGTCGTCACTATTCAGTACTTTGGCACAATGCAGGCCCATTTATTGGCCGCTATGCAACGACCGACATCAAGTTGCTTTTTTTTGATTTCTCTAGTCTATTGGGAAATTCCTTTCAAAAAATTTGAAAAAGAAAAAGCCAGTTACAACGTCCGACATGGCTATGGCACTGCCTCATAAGGCGGCATGAGCTACAAATCTAACATTTTGAAGCAGAACTCGTCCACAAACTTTTGAGTCAAAAGGCAAAAAAGGATGAAAAATTCCGTAGGAAACTGAGAAACTAAATTATTTTCAACAAAAACAGAGAAGTCGTAAACACAACAAAGAGAGGAGAGCCATATTGAGCTTTTCATCGAGTAGAATTCTCCACTGGAAACCACTATAAGCATTATAAAAGACTAATATTACATCATAATATTAAAATTAGTATTACAATTAATATAATTAGTGATTACTTGAATAATTATTTTGATATTCATCACATCATTATATTCCTAGTTATTTCAATTCAAAATGTAGCTAGAATCTTTCCAAAGCCAATACTCCATCAGAAAACAAAAACAAGAATCAGTGGAAGTAAAGGTCACTTCTCAAAACTAATTCAGCATTTTGGTCATCAATATGACACTACAATGAGAGGACGTCCGGCCTTTTTGACCAAGGCGGGAAAATTTCGCTGCTGCCTTTACACTATTGAAACAATTGGAGAAAAAATCAACTTTCCACTAGCGAAGAGCAAGATAGGACGGAGGCTATCGCATCGCCCGCACCTAAGCAAAAAGGGCGGAATTTGAAGCACAAGTTGCCGAAGAAGATGAACAAGAACGCAGCTAGGAATGCCCTGACGACATGTCCAGGCATGGACAATGACAGGTATGTCGTCGACCGGAGGTGCCGATCGATACGCCTCGTTTAAGCGACCAGAGGACATCGAGCGTATAAGGTAATCGACACCTCTCTGAAGGCCTGAATGCCTTCATAGCCTTCCAATAAAACCTGCACAGTAAGTTTTCCTTCACGACAATTCACCAGTTCATGTGTTATTTGACCCTTGACCTCAAATTCCACAAGCTTAGTCTGCCTATAGGGTGCGCTTCGCCCAATCGAACGATGGATTTGTTGAGGTTGGCTGGTAAATCGTTCATTCCGGATACATTTTTCATATTTCTTAAGTGTCAGCGCATTTTCGTCTTCATCAGCGTCATGTCAAGGAAAAACGCTGATAAATGGATCGGCCTTGATAGATAGGCAGTTGGAGATCTGAGATTAAAGAATGGGCCTGAATGAATAAAAAAATGGAAGCAAAGCTCTCCATCATTGAAAAACCCTCTACCAGAACAATAAGAAAGAGAGTATGAAAAAGCATTTCCGATGAGGTTTTTGACAAAAAGCATGGTGAGCGAGAAAATTCTGTCTACAAATTCAACCAACGACCCATATTACTGTAGTTGCCAAGCGAAAAAGTGAGAGACTCTCACCTTCTCCTATATCCTAGGCCTAGCGTCACCTTCTTCTGAATAGCAAGGGCGGGGGAGTGGGAGTGACGGGAGGGAGAAAAGAATAAGTGTAAGGGGATAAATTCCATGGAAATCAGGATTTAAGAGCTTATCCAAGAAGCCAGCATCACGCCTCCACGTTGACGTATAAATACACAGTCTATGGCGCAGCAGTCAACACGAGACTGTGGGACTTTCATCGAAACCTTGTTGGTTGGATGTTGTAGGGACCGAGCTTGCTTACGCAGATAAATCCTGGCTTTCACATATTTACTCGTAACAGTCAATGTCTAAGAAATACCCGCTTTAGAACACCCCCAAGGCTAAGCGTCTAAGCGAATCCAACGCTCCTACGATCCTGTGTAAAAGTCGAGTGCGTGGCGTACTCCAAACGGGCTGATCAATACACCAACCTTAGGTTTGATACCCCAAATTTCATTACAGAAAAATTTAATAAATCAACAAAGCGAAATATCCCCATGGGATGAGACATCATATTTTCTACGGAACTCAAGGACTTGTTCTAGGAACTGAAATTGGAAACCAACGCCAACGAGACTGACGACATACGCGCTCGCGAACGACCCACGCTAACAAGCCTGGCAAAAAGCGCAAGGTGTATCGCGGCGAAAACATTCATTCGGGAAGAAAAGCAAGTGATTCGTCAATGCAAACCGGAGCTGTCAAAATATTGAACAGGGAAAAAGGCGATTTACTCGGCAGTAATACTGAACTTGCACGTCATCATGGCAGAGTAGGCATTTACACAGAGCTATTCTTGCATACCAATTCCAGAATCAATCGAGAGACTTCGCAAACTCAAATACGTATAAATCTTAGAGAGTAGATCATATGGCTTTCACTAGGTCTTAACGGTGTTGAATTTTGAGACCATTCAAATTATTCATTGTCATTGATAAGAGGCACTTGTGCGGACCGAACTTGGTGCGTTATTTTGCTCGAAAATGGAACAAGAGGTATGAAGAGGAGTGCTAGAGAAGAAAAGAACGAAAGGAAACCATAAAAAACACTGAAAATCAAGAATCTTACTCTCTTGTGAGTCGACGTGGTACGACGAAAAGACGCAACACGGGAGGAGAAGCGATAAGCGAGAGAGAACGCCGTACGAAGGCGCGCAGGCTTTGCGTAATCTGCGAACGAGAAAAACTGGCAGCGATCACAGCGGTCAGAACAATGTCTCGGTGCCCTTGCTGAACACTTTCGAGTTGCGACAGCTACCACGCTTTTGCCGCTTTGGGGACGGCTAACTACTCCGCTCACGGAGAGAATTGCCCCAAAAATCTAATCGTTGCACGTGCCTCTGAATTATCAGCTTTTTGTTTCTAGAAAACATAAAAAAAAAAAGCATTCGGTGCCCATCAGCCCTT